TCGGTCAGACCGAGCACTCAAAGCCTCAGCTAGACTGAGCACTTCAAAGCCTCGGCTAGACCGAGCACTCGACGCCTCAGCCAGACTGAGCACTTCAAAGCCTCGGCCAGACCGAGCACTCGACGCCTTAGCCAGACTGAGCACTTCAAAGCCTCAGCCTGACCGAGCACTCAAAGCCTCAGCCAGAGTGAGCACTTCAAAGCCTCAGCCAGACTGAGCACTTCGAAGCCTTGGCCAGACCGAGCACTCGAAGCCTCGGCCAGACCGAGCCCTCGCAGCCTCAGCCAGACTGAGCACTTCAAAGCCAAGCAGGACCACATTTTTAACACTTAGTCACATTTTGAAGCTTATTCACAATTCCCAGACCACGTTTTTACTTAGTTAGATTCCAAAGATATTCCCACGTATTTCATTTACTAATCAGATTATCTCCCACCCCACCCAGCTTGTTTCTCCAATCCCTTCTCTACAGGTTTACAATTAACCGTTCAGTTACGATTTAAAACCTACTTTTCTGTCCTCATCCATGGATTCTTCATCCGTCCTTATTTAACTGGAAGTACTAACCCCATTCGAATATTATGTTCTACAAATTTCATAATCCAATTTTTCAATAAACCACTATTATCCTCTCAATTTTCATACAACTCCAATCTCACTCTGCAGGGAGGAACTTTTAACTTAACTTTGCACGACATTTTTATTGCCCAATTTTTATGACCAGTTTTTATAACACGACTTCATTCATTTTAGACAATACAGGCCAACACAGTCAATTGACAACATAAACGAAAATTTTATTCATTTACAATGTGTACACAAATTCATTATAATAAAAATAAAAATAAAAAATAAAAAAAAAAACAGACACAGCGAAGAAGCTCTTCTTGGTTATTCCTCTTCGCTGGATACACGCTCTTCTTCTTCAATGCCCTCGTCCAGGGGGGTCTGGGCCACATCATCTTCACCAATTGTTACACTACTCAGGTCTAAGTCTGGGAACAGCTCTTCAGCTCTGCGTTTGAACATCTTCCAACTGCTGTCCCAGAACTCAGCCATTTCGTGCTTGTAGAAGTCTGACTGCTGGAAGCTCTCAATAACTTCTGCCTCTGTCCTACCTCCAGCAGTCGTCCTTGATGGGCCCACCCCCCTAGATTCTTGCCCAGCCAGATTCCTGGCGACTGCGGCATCTACCGCTATCTGAAATTCGGGAGACCCTTTGTATTGCTCCACTGCTGCAATGCACAGATCAGGGTAGGCCGCCCTCTCAGAAGCCGCCTTCGCCCTCTCTTCGTCCAGCTCTCTCTGCAGGGCCCCCCTTTCAGCAGCCGCCGTCGCCCTTTCCTCTTCCATCCCCTTCCTCAGGCTCTCTATCTTCGCCTTCTCTGTTTCCAACTCTCTCACGAGCCTCCCCTTCTCCTCCTCTGCTTCGACGCGCCCATCCTCCAACTCCTTCAACAGATCTCCAATTCTGGCGTCTGCCTTATCTTTTTGCCTGACCAGCTCTTCATTGCTACTCATGGCCTCTTCATGCCACTCGATCGCAACGGCGCAGGCTCTTTCAGACTCCTCCAACTTTTTCTGTTCGCCAGCCAGTTGGAACTCGAGCGACACGACCTTACGGCGTGTGTCCTCCAGCTCCAACTTGACTGCTTGCAGCTCAGCATGGGCAGTCTTCCAGTCGGCACTCTCCTTCTTCAACTTGGCCAACTAGGCCTTGTCCTCTTCATCCTTTAGCTTGGCAGCCCCTGCTTTTCTTAGAAGGGCCCCTGCCAAGGTGGTTACCTCCATTTGGGCAGAGCATAACCCCCTCAGCAGGTCAACCTCATTGAATCTCGATGCCGAGCGTAGGGCTGTCTCCTCCACAATCTTCACCAAGCGGTCTGCCCCCGCCCTGGCTGGGCCTTCTTCTCCCTCCAACCTTCCAGCTACCGCGCGAGCGTGATAGATTGCCGTGGCCAGACGGACCCCTCCTTCTTGGGGGGCAGGGCCCTTTTGGGTCTGCTCCCTCCCGCTCGGCGCAACCTCAGTCAACCCAACTCCTACTTGCACTGTTGGGGCAGTCTCCACAACCTCCCGTGTTGGGGTGACCTCCACCACCTCTGGGGTACCCTTGGCCACAGGGACCTCCACCTCAGCTGGGGCCACCTCAGCCCTCTTGGCTCCAGGCTCATCTGCAGCTCCCTCTGGGGCACTCCTCTTCTTCTTCTTCTTCTTCTTCTTCAGAGCCTCCCCCTCCTTTCTGGCCTGTTCTTTTACAGGATCTACTGGGGGCGGTCGTGGCTCAAAACTGCTTAAGTCCTTCCCCCCCAGCGGCTTTGGGCGCGGTCGGATCCTCTCCCGCGTGATCGGTTGAGGCGGTCGGTCTCTTCGCGTTTCCTTCAACTTCGTGGCCTTGGCAAGTATGGCCTGATTCTCTGCCTCCTGCACTTCTCTTCTCGCTTCCAATTCTGCTTGGTCGAGGTCCCCACCCCTTGGCTGCGGTCCCAACCCTGCCTCAAACAATGCGGACGGTTGAACAAGCTCGTCCCATTTGGCCTTCTCTCTCTCCCTCCACTCCTTCATCGTCTTCACCCTCTCTTCCGCCGCTGCCCCCAGTCTTGACTCCATCGACCTAATGGGCACCTTCCAGATAGTGTGCACTCCCAATCCCCCATTGGCAGACATGTAGAACTACCGTGGCCACCACTCCTTGATCAATGTCGGCAGCCCCGCCACCAATCCCCTCTCCATCACTGCCTGAAGGGTGACCCACGTCTCTTGCTGCCCCGAAGCCTTATAACAGGAAAAGAACTCGTCTACAGTCATGGCTTCCCCTCCATTCGCCTTGGGCCACGCGCTAGCACAGGCCAGCAGAATCTTCCATGCATTGGGCATCAATTGCCCCGGCGCTACCTCCAGACGGTTCAGTACGTCAACCACCACTTGGGGCAGTGGTAACCTTAACCCACCTTTTAGCGTCTCCTCGTAAAGGGAAAACTCCCCTGGCTTGGCATCAGACGGCCTTTCCCTTGATGTTGGCAGCAATAACTCCACCTCAGCCGGAATCTGGTATTTTTCCCTGATAGCCTCCAAATCCGCCGTAGTAATTGTGGATTTGTCAGCCTTAGTGTGCCACTGATCCGGTTTTACCTGGCTTATTGGCCTTGGAGCCAATATCAGGGCCGACGCCCACGCTTGTCCCACCGGTTCCCCCACCTCCACCATTTGTGTCTCCGTCCTATATAGCGCTGCTAGTTCCTCCGCATCATCGTCTCCCAGAGGGTCCACCCTCACATTCACCACTTCTTCTTGTGCCATTTCTAGGGTTTGCTTACGAATCACTTCTGACGCAGGAGCAAGGAAGTTGAGAAAATGTTACACAGGTGTGTCGTGCGCAGTGAAGGAATTAACACTTGGGTATTCTAAGTTTTTGTAAAAAGGTAGGTGAAATGAATTATATAAAAAACCCATGGTTTACCCGTATTCCACGGATCCACATTAATTTTCGGCCGTTTAAAAACCTTTCAAATCAACCGCCAAAACCGCATTTTCAAAACCCCCATCGTGACCTATCGTTTCATTTCTGCTCCAACGCTTCACTTCTCCCACGATATTGCTACGTGTATGGCCACGATGTACTGTCCCCTCCCCTTACCCTGTCCTTTCCATTTCACATCATCAAATGGCACGCCCCCCCTTTTTTCTTTGAGCCCCGCGCCGTCCTGGTCGGCACGCCTCACGGTCGACCCCTCCCGCCCGGTTACCCTCACGGTCAGTTCCCCCCGCTCGGCCACCCTTGCGGTCGGCACGCCTCACGGTCGACCCCTCCCGCCCGGCCACCCTCACGGTCAGCTCCCCCCGCTAGGCCACCCTTGCGGTCGGCACGCTTAACGGTCGACCCCTCCCACTCGGCCACCCTTGCGGTTGGCACGCCTAACGGTCGACCCCTCCCGCTCGGCCACCCTTGCAGTCGGCACGCCTAACGGTCAGCCTCTCCACTCAGTTTGCACTTCTTTTCCTTATTACTATTCCCTTCGTTGGACTAAAGCTGCACTCGGAAATGGGGGACTACTGATATGGATAGGCCCATAAGGCTTACAGCCCACAGCAAACAACCCCAAACCCATCGCTTGGGACCCATAGCATAACCCGGTTAGTAAAGTCCAGGACAGCTGGAGGCCATCTGGGCATGGAGGGCTAATGACATTCGGGCACATGGCAGGTGAAACACAAGCCACATCAGCAGACAAAGATCTGCAGAGTTATTGCCACAACACATCACCATTAATGCAGCCCATCACAACATTTATTACGACAACACCTCCCCGTCGGAACAGAGCCCCCTCACCCTGAACAAGGTAAGCTACGGCACAGGCTTTCGGCGGAAGGGGGCACGTCGCAAGGGACAGTGAAATGATTACCAAAGGATATAAGCAAGAATCAAAGACAAGAGGAAGGTTAAGCTTTTCTATCTCTCTCTCTCTCTCATTATACTTTTCTCTCTTCCACTATTGATTTGCTCACCGGAGGGTTCACTGGGGGACTACCCTGTTCCCCTTTGGACTTGTTTGCAGGTCATCTGGTGGAACCATCCGTCTCGATTGGAACTTGAGGAGCTTGGACCAGCCCGACCCATCCACCTAGGACGAGATGCATCATCAAATAATAAGGGTTGTTTGAAAAGTGTTAGATTAAAGAGTTTATGAAAAAATATGAAATGTGAGTTAGGATTAAAGTAATGTGATAAACCGATGATATAATCTAAATAGGAGATAACATGACTCAAATAAAATAATATATTAAAATAACATATGCTATTTTTGCACAAACGAAGCTCAAAATAAAATTCATGGTTGGGCCAGGACCAAACCCAAGAAAAAAGGAAATTCTATCCCACTTTGCACCGGGGCTTTATTTGTTGTGGGCCGGGTAGCTTCTCGAATATGGATATTACTTTTCTGGATTCAAAGTCTCAAACCTACCCGTGACCCGAATCTCCATTTGTCCATCTAGTCTTAGCTTTTCAGACTCACTTCACCATAGTTGTCTTGCCTCGCAAGAAGGGTTTTATTCAAGAAGACGAAGACGAGGCAAAACATCTCTCTCTCTCTCTTCCCTAATAAGGTGAGTTGTTTTCACTCGAACTCGTTACCCTTATTTAATTTAATTTTTTTTTATTGATTCACTCATTTTGTGATTCAAATGGGAATAAAGTTGTGATAAATTGGGATTTTCTTCTTTAGAAATCGTTTGTGTTTTGGGAGATTTTTAGATCAAATCGAAGATGTTTCTCACAAGGTCAGTACATTTTTTGAGTACGAATCTAGGGTTTATCTGGTTCTCATTGAGATCGTGGTTATGTATGTTTATTATCTCTCCGATCTAAAATTATTTTTGGGGATGTGATTGAAGGACTGAGTACGATAGAGGTGTCAATACCTTCTCTCCCGAAGGTCGATTGTTTCAGGTTGAATATGCCATCGAGGCCATTAAGGTAATATCTCTCTCTCTCTCTCTCTCTCTCTCTCTTTTTCTCTCTCTCTCTCTGTATATAATGTGTGTATGTGTTTATATATATATATATATATATACTTGATTGGATTGGGAATTAGATCGGGTTTGTTATTAATTATTATGATTATTTACAGCTGGGTTCGACAGCAATTGGGTTGAAGACTAAGGAAGGAGTTGTGCTTGCTGTTGAGAAGCGTATCACTTCACCACTCCTGGTCTGTTTGCTTTCCTTTTTTCACAATACATAGGATTGGGTTATGTCTTTTAGCTTGTGATTTATGTGAACACACTAATTGCAACATTACTATGTATGTATGTATTGTGCTTGTTATTGGTATTGTTTTTATCATGATGTGATGTTAATTCTGTATTATTTTTATCTGACTGAAATGTTGGAAACTCATTTGGGTTTGTAATTAAAGTGACTGAGAGAAGCTAATTGTGCATGTTATTCAAAGAACAAGATGTCACTATTATGAAGAGTTACAGTTTATAAAAAATAAAATAAAATATTACAAAGAGTTTATGTTATGTGAATATAATTGTACCCTCTTTACCTTAGATTAATTGCCTCTCCACTCTCTCTCCTAAATTATAACGAACCCCAATTTGATATGTAGTGTCAGTGCAATTGCATTATTATGTTTAGTTAGTCCACATCAAGTGGTGGACTTTGAAGCTGGGTTTTGTTCTTCTTGTCGAAGTGGATGATTTTGTTTGATTGGGAGATTTGAAGTATTGGAACTCCATATGTTATTTACTGTAATGCAGGAGCCCAGCAGTGTGGAGAAAATTATGGAAATCGATGAGCATATTGGATGCGCAATGAGTGGGTTAACTGCTGATGCTCGCACTCTTGTTGAACATGCACGAGTTGAAACTCAAGTAATCATCACCATCATCAATATTTTTTCCTTTTTTCCAGTAGTTTGATAGTAATTAATTAATGATTTTTAATTTTGTTTCAATAGAATCATAGGTTCTCGTATGGTGAACCCATGACTGTTGAGTCTACTACGCAAGCTCTGTGTGATTTGGCCCTGCGATTTGGTGAAGGGGATGAAGAATCTATGGTTAGCTGCCTATCTTTATGATCCTAATAGTTACTTTTCTTGTTCATGATTTTTCAGTCTTACCTGGTTTGTGCTGCTATCATTTCCACAATTTATTTAACATCTCTTAGCATAATTTGACTTCCATTATGTATCGCTCTGGAAGCATCATTGGTTATCTAGGTGTCCTTGAAATTGAATTAGCAGTTTACTAGTCTACTATGTTACATGTACCCTTCATAATAAATCAAATACCCGTGTCGGACAACTAACACTTGGACAAGGATGTGGGTTATGTATATGAGACATTCCATCGGACACTCCTTATATATTTGTATTTAACACTTTTATTATATATATATATATATATATATTATTGTATAATTGTTATAAAATGAGTAGAATTCCGTTTCCTATTTCCTCCGTTGGGTCATTTGGTAGGTATTATGCGTGCATGTTAAGGCTGGGTTTTTATGTCGAGGGAGTAGGCGGGTAGGCCAATTGCTTCAATTTAGTACAGTTGTGAATGCTGTTCTTATATCCCAACTACACTGGTTTGTCTTTGGCCTTTGTGCTCTTTGTTATGAGATCTAGGGCTGCTAACCAGCTAAGCCAAGTATTTGGTGTTTTGCTTGGCTCTGTAAATATCATTCAACATCATTGTAGTGTTATATACATTAAGAAAAGTTTGGCTTGGTTAAGGATATACAACAAATTAAATCTAGAAGGCTAAGAGTTATTTTCCTCGTTTGAACTCTTGGATAATTCATAAGGTGGTCTTAATTCTATTCTACTTTATTCGATTGACTTGCTGTGAGTAATATGCGGTCATTTGTGTTAGGATTTAATGTCTCTTGCTAGGCATTTAGTGTTCATTGATAAAGAACATAAGCAGTTTATGTACAGCGGTTGTGCATTTGATTCTTTCTTTTCTTTTTTTCTTTTTTTTTGTAAGTATAAATGTGTGATTTCTTTGTGTTTTCTAATGTTTAATATCTTTTTTTTTTTTTTTTAATTTTTAATTTTTTTTTTTTTTTTTTTTTTTTGCAGTCTCGACCATTTGGAGTATCTCTTCTCATTGCTGGACATGATGAGAATGGACCTAGCTTGTAAGCACTAGTTTAGTTGTCTTGTATAGTTTATAGCATATTCAAATAAAACAATTAAAAAATAAAATTCAACAATATACAAATGATGATATCAACAAATTTTTAAATATATGTCACACAATGATCACAAATAAGAAGCATCCTAAACATGAATGAAGCATATCAAGAACTAGCAGAGGTGCAAACAGTTTCTGAAAATAGTTTGCCAAGCAAGGTTTCTGTGTTGGTTTCTGTTTTTTCTGATTTCAAGAACAAAAAAGAAAAACCACACCAAATGCACCATCTTATAGAAGCTTCATTCATTAACATATAAATTTGAGTTTAAGCTGAGCTTGGTAAACCCATCCCCTTCAAAATTGCAATTGTATTTGGCTTGTTTGTCTCACAGGTGATCACTAACAAGCATATAACAATGCTGGTGTTGAGTCAAGCTCAAGTTAGCTTTTTTGTCGTTCAACTTAGAAACTTTCATCCTGCATAATGGAATTTTTGTTGCTTTCCACTGTTTACCATTAGTTTACTTAGTTAAAATTCAAATCATCTGTGTGTTTCATTAGTCCTCACTCCTTTCCTCAATCACTCATTATTTCTGTTATTCACAGATACTACACAGATCCGTCTGGCACGTGCTGGCAATGCAATGCTAAAGCTACCGGATCAGGTTCTGAAGGTGCTGACAGCTCTCTACAGGAGCAGTATAACAAGGTATTGTATAAGCCTTCATTACTTAGAAAAACTTGCATGTCGTTGGTTTGGAGCATGAATTTCTGAACTTGCCTAGTTGTTACTTATTTTTTGTGCATTTAACCTGAGATCATTGAATTACTGCAGTCATTCTAGTCTATCTATGCTAATGAGATTTTATTATTATTATTATTGTTTATTCCATATGTGTTGGGAAACAAAATGAAGGATTCAGGAGAGATTCGGATTAATTAGTTAAATTGCAACATTGGAAGGACTTTGTCAACTCCTCTTCATAATCATGAGTCAATCTAAACATGAAATAGGATGCACAATCTAAAAGGATTGATAATCCCATCTAATCCAGTCTGCTTCTATTAGTTGATTGTAGATTCAATATGGTTGTTCATTTGCAGGACATTACACTCAAAGAAGCAGAAACGATTGCTCTTTCCATCTTGAAGCAAGTTATGGAAGAAAAGGTTAGTTACTTCATTGTGGTTTGCATTCAGTTTTGTGACAATTTTTGTACCCCAAAAGTTTTACCACATTTTCTACCAAATGTCTCACATGGTCTCACATGGGTGAGGGCATGTGAGACATTTGGTACAACTTTTGGAATCTCTAGCATTTTTCATATTGTTCCCTATGGCTGCATTGTATATATTCTTAAATTGTACCCTATTTAATATATTATGATCAAGCTGTGTTACCCCGTTCTCAGGTGACCCCGAATAATGTTGACATTGCAAAGGTTGCTCCGACTTACCATCTGTACACCCCTGCTGAGGTGGAGGCTGTAATCAACCGCCTTTGAGAAATCCAATCAATATCTTGCAGCCATTGGTTGAAAATTTTAATTACAGTTAATTATGCATACATTTTAGATGACTTCGCTGGGATTATATTTTGTTATCTTCAAAAATTGGATATTAATCATGAAATTGTTTTTGGTGTGTTACTCAACTATGTACTCGGATGGATGTGATAACTTCTTTTAAGGTCATGAACTGAATGCTTCTGTTGGAATTTCTTGTCTGTTGAGTGCTATGCCTAGTCCCTAGAGGCTGGTTGCTTCTCGTGGGTGCTTGAACTCAATGTGACTCGGGTTGGATTTGACAAATTGCTTTCTTTGTAGATTATTTATTTATTTATTATTTGGAGAAAAAAAAAAATCTTTTCAATTTTTTTGGTTTTTAGTGAGAGAGTATCGTATTATTACCAGTGTTTTTGAGCTCTTGTTAACATAATTAGAGGGACTCGTGAAATTTTTTGAAGTATTTCGTAGTATGGAGAGAATATTTGTTTAACAATTTTGTTGACATTCTCGAGAAAAAAAAAAAATTATGCAAATGTTTTTAGCGAAATGACTTTTTGAGTGTTGCGTTTTTTTTCAAGTTAAAAAGCTGCTTTGTAATTACGTAGTAATAAGAATGGCTTTAAAGTAGCTATTTGTTTTTTTATTCTGTTTATTTAAATATTATATAGTAAAATTGAAATGCGGGCTTTTCTAGGTTTCCATATATGCTTTATTCATGTCGAAGATACTCAACTCTACCTTGTGGTTTCTTCAGTTCCTGCAGCCAAATGTGTTGAGCGTTTCATCCTAATTTTTTTTTTTAAAAAATTTCTGAAGACTTGGTTTGTTAAATTTTTATGTATTCATAACCCACAGATTTATCAAAGAATAAAGATTGAGAGTTTTACGCTGTGTTTAATTAGGAAATTTAGGGAGGGATTTGGAAATTTAGGGAGGGATTTGGAAAAGAAAATGGAAAAAGTAAGTAAAATGTGAATAAAATATGTATATATTTCACATAGTTTTACACATATTTTCCCTTTTCTTTTTCAAATTCTTCCTCAAATCCTCTGATCAAAAACACCATTAATATTGAAGCTCATGCTAGTGATGTTGTAAGGAGTAGAGTCTACATGTACTGTGATGTGTTCATCAAAATATCTGACTGTAATTTTTCTATAAAAAATTAGTTAATGTAACGTTTACATTTTCAGTTTATATTTACAAAAATTTTATAAATTGATTTTTGTTTATTTTTAAAAAAACATAAACTACAAACGCATTTGGTAATTGACAAAATGTATAAAAAATTTTAAAAATATAAAAAAGAGTGAGAAATGGCAAGTGGTGGCAGAAGACGGTGGTGGAAAGTGGTGACGGTGGGTGGTGGGTAGCTAGTGGTGGTGGGTGGTAGGTGGTGGCGGGTCGGTGGTGGTGGTGGTGGGTGGGTGAGGGTGGCGGGTGGTGGGTGGGTGGTGGTGGCAGATGGGTGGTGGGTGGTGATGGTGGAAGAGTGAGTGACAGTGGCAAGTGGTAACGAGTGGGTGGTGGTGGTGGCGGCAGGTGGGTGGCGGATGACAGGTGGTGGTGGGTGGTGGCGGGTCGGTGGTGGTGGTAGGTGGGTGACGGTGGCGGGTGCTGAGTGGTAGTGAGTGGGTGGTGGGGGCAGGGGGGGGGCAGATGGCGGGGGGTGGCGGGGGGGGGTGGGGGGGGGGGGGGGGGCGGGGGGGTGGTGGTGGTGGTGGTGGTGGTGGTGGTGGTGGTGGTGGTGGTGGTGGTGGTGGTGGTGGTGGTGGTGGTGGTGGTGGTGGTGGTGGTGGTGGTGGTGGTGGTGGTGGTGGTGGTGGTGGTGGTGGTGGTGGTGGTGGTGGTGGTGGTGGTGAGGGCGGGGGGGGGGGGGGTGGTGGTGGTGGTGGTGGTGGGTGGTAGGTGGTAACGAGTGGGTAGTGGTGGCAGGTAGGTAGCGGGTGGGTGGTGGTGGATAGTGGTGATGGGTGGGTGGCAGGTGGCTAGTGGTGGTGGGTGACAGGTGGCTGGTGGTGGTGGGTGGCTGGTGGTGGCTGGTGGTGGGTGGTGAATGGTGGTGGCAAGTAGGTAGCGGATAGTGGTGACGGGCGGTGGATGGTAATGGCGGGTGGTGGTTGGTGGCGGGTGGGTGGCAGGTGGCGAGTGGGTGGCAGGTGGCTGGTGGCAAGTAGGTGGTGAGTGGCGATGACAGGTGGTGGTGGGGAGTGGGTGGTGGCGGCCGAAGACGGTGGTGGAAAATGATGACGGGTGGTGGCTAATGTTGGGTGGTAAAAAAAAAAAAAACTCAACTCAAAATGAAAATACATTTTGTGTTTTCATTTTTTAACCAAATTCATAAACTAAATATAAATAAAAAACTGAAAATGTAAGTGTTACCAAACGGTACCTAAACTTCTTAAAATTTTAGCTTGGTGTGACAAGCAATGCATGATCAGTAGCATAACTCAATAATTCATTGCTTGTTTCGGTTGCTCTATATGACATTTTAAAATGGCCCCAGTTCTTTTTTTTATTTTTTTTAGAAAAGTTAAAACACAATTATATTAAAGGAAAAAGTAAACATCATACAAAATAAGAAAAACAAAAACAAAAACAAAAACTCCTTGGGCATTCGCAGCTTTTACAACATCCCAGCTAGGATTCAAGGCTTCCAATAAATATCCAAAAAAAAGATCATGTGCAGTGCCTCTATAAGCAGTTCTTTTTTCAACATTCTCTGTAACAAAAACTGGAAAATTAAACCCCTGTGGTTGTAACAAGATGAGATCCTTTGCAGCTTGCAAACTTATTCAAGATATGAAAACTCAAAACAAGACTTAACCGTAAAATGCCCTCCCTGTTAAAGGTGAAAACTGGAAAGGAACAAGAAACATCCTTCAACACAAGGGGCAAGGTTGGATTTGGATCAATCAATCACGAAATTCATCAATGAATCCCTTGTGGAAGTCTGTCAGGCGGGTGACGATGGCTGGAATCTTATCCTCTTGAGGCAGTATTGTGCACCTAAAATGCCACGTTCCAGGAACCTTTGCGACAAAACATAACATCACAATCAATAATCATTATTCAGAAATACAGAGAAGGCCAATCAAAGTACAACAGACACCTAATATAAATACACGGAATAAGCGTAACACTAAATACTTGAGAGCAATTAAAGAAATACATTTACCCCATAGGGGGGTTTAAAGTGTAATTTACCCTAAAGAAATATATATTACTTGCCGGGAAAAAAAAAAAAAAAACTCCAGAAAGATATTTTCGATGGTCAAATCTAAGGTCAGGATATTTTCAGATATTGGAATTTGGAAGAAATTCAACGCATACGACCATCTATTTGCTGACATTTGAATAGGGAAAATTGCAGTTCAATATGAATAATCAGATTTGAATGCTAACAGTAATGTGTGAATCAAAAAGCAATATTAGCAACAACACTCACCTGTTGAAAGCCAGAACCTGGGACAACAACAATTCCAGTGGCATTGAGGAGGCGTTGACAATAGAATGCATCTGGGGCTTTTTTTGCTGCTTCTGCTGCCTCTATTGCTTTCTTGGGCAGGTGAAGACGGGGGAAGAGATACATTGCTCCTTCTGCTTTGTTGCATGTTATACCCTCTAAGCTATTGAATACATCTTCCAATGTCTGTTTTACCAAAAAAATAAATATATACGGCGAAGACTAAGATAATTTCCAACTAAAGAACACATGATGAATTATACTGTTTTGGCAAAACAATCAAAAGTTCAATGTGAATTGAACATACCCAAATTGTTCGAGAAATATGCTCCTATTACTAGCATAAGAGATAATTTATGGATTTTCCTTCAGAAGCTTGACTGATATGCATTTACTATATTTCAAAATTCAATAAAACATTTCTTTCTACTATTTAATTAATTTCTCATTTTGAACCCAAACAATGAGATTGTTGATTTTAACCTACCTTTGCACGCCTTGCTAAAGATGAAAGGATACCATCTTTCTCTGCATAATAAGACTCGTAGGACTCGTCTCCAACCTGAAAACCATCCATATAATTTCATTTATCTAACAATGACACATACATAGAGGGAATTATGGGTAGAAATAACTAGTTTTGTTCATACTAAGAGAATATAGTTATGCTTTCAATGAAACCTTAGAGCAGCTTGATAATGCACAATCAAGATCTTGTTCATGTACCTAAGGTCAACAAAACTAGCACTTAAAAATCAATCTGTATGCTGCAAATCCAAAAGTCTTAATCATACTACAGCAATGTTGACACAGGAAAGTTGAGCACCTGACAGAACAGGTGATCAAAGGAACTCAAGCTTAGCTGCACATGAGAACATGTTAGCAGTGGACTAGTGTTAAATAGGGATGGCAACAGGGCGGTGAAGGGGCAGGTTTGTAGTGCCCTGCCCCTGCCCCCCCTCCAAATCATATTGGGGGCGGGGCAAATTTTTTAACCTTAGAAATGTCGGTACTAATAAAAATGAGAGACGATATGGTATATTATGTATAATGATTTAAAAGTAGTAAGAGTTGAAAAAATGTAAGATAAGAAATACGTGAAAATAAGTGTTAAGGGTAATATAGTGTTTTAGTCTTAGTATATTAAAAAAAAAAAATTATATATATATTTAACAAATATAATCAAGGCAGGGGAGGGATGGAATGGGGAGGGGCAGGAAAACCCATCCCCGCCTTGCTTCCTCCTTGAGGTGGGAGAAACCTGTATGGGCCCGGACCGGGATTGGGATCGAGGCCAGGGCAGAGTTGGGTTGGGCGAGATTGTCATCCCTAGTATTAAATCAGAAATCTTACCCGTTTCCTCTGGATTTTTCTGATTTTAAACAGATCTAACTGAATTCAATAAACTTGAAGTTTAGGCCCATTTAGTCATGACACTTTATGCAAAAATACTAATCTAGAGGGAAAACCTAACCTTGGGAGGGTTCATGACCAGGCTTGCAAGAATTTGACCAGAGATATTTGAACAAAGATTCACAGATGCTACTTTGTAGATTTGTTCCCTTATCTCAGGAGAAAAACCAGTGACCTCCATGTAACCTCCTCTTTTCCCACACTCCCCATAATACCCTGAAAGCAGCAAGAAAACATCAGCACATCAAATCTAAACTCAATATGTTCCATAATTCATATATTAATTTGATTTATGAATCCCACATACCTTTAGAGACTGACTGAAAAGATACTAATGAGATGTCTTTCTCACCATACCCCATAGACCGGGAGATTTTCTTGAATGAGTGAAACTTCTTGTCAGGAACATAAATATTTTCCTGGTATACCTGTATAAATTCAAAGCCATCAAAGCAAAGGTGAGTTTTAAGTTTTGCCAATAAATTGCCAAGTCTGAGGCTCCTAAGCACAACTTGAAGTTAAAAGGAACTAGTCAAATCTCCAAACACTGAAGAATCTACTCACTTCATCTGCCAGAAGAACAAGACCTTCTTCCTTGCAGAATTTTGCAATGTCGCGCTGGTTGTCCTCAGCAAGAACCTGTAGGTACAGATTACCAAGACTATGAAACATGACAAGGTCACAGGACTCATAACTCATAACACCCAATAATTGCCCCCATCCAATCACCCTCAGATCATTGAATTAAAATGCAAGTTATATTTGTGATTTTACTTAATCTTCCAGAATCTGACTGTTGCTTTACCTGTCCTGTTGGATTGCCTGGATTTATTACAACCAGGGCCCTAACAGTGATGCCCTTGGACTTGGCAGCTTCCAATTGTTTCTTAACCTCAGAAATCTCCAATCCCCACCCTGTTGCTTCATCAAGATAGTAAGGAACCTGCAAAAAAACAGCTTATAATTCAAAGTCAAATACTCTCATGGGCAATGAAAACCCACAAGACAACGACTTATTTGACCTAAATTTTGGTTTTATATTGCATGAACATACAAGAGTGCCACCATGGAGGGCAATTGAAGCAGAGTACAGAGGGTACTGAGGAATGGGACATAGAATCCCATCCTCCTCCGATTTTATCAGTAACTGCATCATCATATGGACCTGACATGAGAGTAAAAATCTGTTACCCATTCTTGAGATTCGAGTGCCGCCAGTTCTGAAAAGTTATGAAGTATGCAGACAGAAGGGAGTGACATTAAAGTTTACCGCTGGACTTGCACCATCTGTCAAGAAAATATCATTAGGATCAGCTGGAAAACCATCTCGTTCTTCAATGCCAGCAGCAATTGTATCCCTTAAACCCTTGATTCCCTGTGAATATACATGTATACACAAAACATTGCATACAACATAAATACACGAGCAATGTACTAGCTCAAATTTTCCATGTTCACAGGAGAGGACATGGTAACCTGGCTGTGACTATATGCACCAGTTGCCCTCCCAGGAATTTGCTCCAGGATCTGCCAAGCTCGCTCTATGGAATCCGCACTAGCAAAAGGAAGAAAAGGAATAAGAACTTAACTGATTATCAACAGAATCCAAAACCAGTTTCACTACACTGCAAGGCTTAGGTGATATACATAGGATGCTCTTTGTTCCTGAATGACTCAATTTTCCTCCTTTTCTCTCTCCTTGGCACTTTTTAAATACATCATTACATCACTAATTTTTTGAGAAACCATGGTGTGTTGAACTCCCTGCTGTTGGGTATAGAAGCCTCCACTGAATACTGAATACTATCCGCTCAAAAGAGAACACTACAGAATTTTTATTTATGTTATGGGTGGAGAAACATAAATGGCAAGATTAATCAATATCTCCATAGGAAACTTAAATTGACATTTCAAATTCCCATTTACTTTAAATTTCAAACAATTAGAAGTTCACCACATTATGAGTTCATTTTTAAAATTTTCAGAACTACTGCAGTCCTAGGGTTACATAAACCTTAGAAAATTATGTGAGATACTTAGCACTAACAATCAATTAGCAGGCAAATATCCAAACAAGGGACAAGGAAATCCAGCAGAGGTAATATACAAGTTACACCACTAGCAAACTGATGTCAAGAGGTCTCAATTGGAGATGGAATTGCATGTGTTTATGAGTTAGATGAGATTTTAACTGCGAAAACAGCAAAATTTTCCAGCAGTGTGAATCAAAATCAACAATGTACAAAGCACATAACCAAGTATAAGTTTCCATACCTAAATAAACCCTGTGTTTCACTTTTGTCCAATATCGCTGGATGGTCACACAGTGCAAGAACCTAACATAAGGATGGTAATGATCAAATATTGCTTGAGCTGACGTTGATATAATACTTTATAGGACAAAGTTACAGCAAACAAACCTCCCGGAAAAAAGTAATTGGCTGCTGGCCAAGAGATTGAGGATTTCCAATGTTGCAGTAAAGTATCTGTCACAATAAGGGGAAAATAAGTGCAGAAGCAGAAAACCTCTTCGTAAATCGTGCTTTGAAGACTTGTAATTCTTGCATGAGGTAGCAACACTAAATAAGAGAAGAAGCTTTCTACAAAGAGATTCATTGTTTTACTTTTCACACAGAAACATTATTTAAAGAAGTGAGCAATAAAATCCAATCAGCAAAATCTCTGAATTAGTCAAAGTGAGGTTGATGGAATGGAATCCTAGGTTCATTCAATGTTTTATCTTGTGTGTAACATTGAAATTAGGTTTTTCAATTAGTTACATGAAAAGAGGTCATAAAACAGTTCACAAAGGATTATGGTCACCGAGTCATTAGTGAATTGAGTCAAGAAACATAACAACACCTAGATGAATACCAAGATGCATTTTAAGTAGGCCTAAAATGCATTTGCAGTATGCATTTGTAAGGAAAAATATATGCAAGTACAATATATTAAGAAATAAACAAATAAAAGGTACCTCATCAAACGGATGAGCACCTGGACTTGTTTGTAATTCATGCTGCAATTGCTGCAACAAAAAAAAAAAACACAAACAATTCTCAAAGAGATAAGTAGATTGTAGAAATTAAAAGAATTAGAACCAGCACATTCAAATAGTTATCTTGCTTAACCAAATTGCCAATTTACAAGTTTATTTACTTTCATGATAATTCTTCAAGGGGCCAAGCTCTGTGAGAGAACATGTCAGTCATCAAATAGAATTACAATCCACAAAAAATAATTTTGCATACTTTAGTTTAGGTAATGCTCATAGAGCAACTGCAAAGTATGCAATGGGCATAAATAGGCCTAAATTCCATGAATTTGGCAGGGAATATCGTGACACATCTTCAAGAATTAGTCTGTTTTCTTCCTTTCACCTCACATTCCATTCTTCTTGATTAAAATAAATTTTCCTCAGTTTAACACAAAATTCAGGTTTTTTTTTTTTTTGGATAGCCATTCTACCATTGCAATGCTATGCATCTCTCTATCAAATGTTGAAATTTTAATTAATATCTCATCGAAGAGCATAGCACAAATCTCAATGTTACCTGGGCCAGGGTAACAATTTCACCACGGACAGCATACTCACATTTCAGAACCTGGCAGAATAGAAAACTTGGAGGTTAAAATGAGGACCAACATGTAAATCCAGAAGAAAATCTACAAGTGAAAAATGCAAAGACAAGCAGATATCTCATTTCTTATTCATCAAGCTTAAAAATATACACTAGGATGTTTAAGGCATTATTATTATGGTTGAGTTTCCAAAAAATTATCAAAAACCAAAAAATTGTAGTTATGACTATTAACACGACTTAAATTTAATTCAACAAATTATTGACTCTATCACTTGGGAACTACATATTTTAGCCAAAAAGTCACTATAAGTTGTTACATCACTCTCTCTACTTTTCTGCACATCTTTTTATAAAAAGCTAAAAAATTACTAAAATAGCCCGTTCTCAAACGAGAAGTTGAACTTTTCCAATTTTTGAATTGCTAGAGGAAGAGTAATTTTAGTTCTATGACACAAACGGGTTCATGGGTCCATCACTATCTCCATATAAATCACCTACTCAATTGAATTCAGCAGGGGTTCTGCAATACAGCCACCTGATCTTATTTAGCAGTTGAAGCAAATCATGAGCTATATAGCAACATTGATATGTTTAAGACAGTAGTGGTGATAATCGAAATACTCAGATGTCTAAATCCATCAAATGCTCGATCTAGAAAACATAGAATATAGCAAAGCAAAAAAGTTGAGAACCTACATGCCAAAGTATTAAACACAACACAAACAACCACAAAAACAGAAGCCAATACCCAAAGCAACAGAACAGGAAAAAATAAAATAATATATCCAACTAAAGATGGATACAAATTAAGCATACATAACAAGCAAAAATATAAAGCTTATTTGAGAGAGAGCGATTTGGGTTTCCCCAATGACATGACATAAGAAAATACATATTGATGCATAAACAAATTTACAAAATCAGGGGTGGAAAAACACAATAAAACATAACATTCAATATCCATTCTATCCATCTATCTATTCTATTATCCATAAGCATACAACACAACTCACTTCAGAAAAGCTTTGTCACACAATTTTGAATCCCAAAAAAAATCACATCGACACTCTATGTTCTCCAAATATTCACCTTTGCCTACCAATTAACGTAAATACCAAAAACAAAAATCAACAAATCAAAAACTACTGCCCACAACACACGAACCCTCTCTCCACTCATACACAATCTCCATGCATTGACAGTTTCAATTGCACCATGTTCTTAGTCTTCTAGTATATCTATTCCATTATATAAAGGGTACTCTCCAATTGGAGGGAACACTATACTTTTTCTTTTTTTTATTCTTTTTCCAAAAATATCCTTCATATCAACATAATAACTGCTGAATGAATACAAAATCTAAGTGCAAAGAGGACCAACACAAAATGAGACATAGATTGTGTTCCTAACATTGCTCGAACGAATATCATAAAATTACCCAAAATTGCTAAATGGTTTTTCTCATTCATCAAACCGTTCCTCAATCATTACACCATCCAAAAATTTAAATATGATACTTCAAACGTGATGGGTTAGCATAGCACCCACCGATAATATACAATATATATATATGTGTGTGTGTGCGCGCGCGCGCGCGCGGCGCGCGATGAAGATAAACCCTAGAACACGATTAGATTTAAAGAGAAATCACTTATGCACAGAACCGATGAGACATTGAAAAGTAGTGAGGAACTAAAAAAAAAAATTGATGATCTAAATAGAAATGAGTGTGTGCGCAGTTAGAATAAACCCTAGAACACGATTAAATAAAATTTAAAGAGAGAGAGAGAGACAGAGAGAGAGAGAGTAGTAGCTATGAATAGAAACGATGAAACAGTGAAAACTAGTGTGGAACTAAAAAAAAAAAATTGAAAGCATGTATGTATAGAAATGTATCGGAAGTGGGTGATACCCTGGGATTGATGGATTGAAGAGTGACAAGAAGAGATGCATCGGAAGAAGCCATTGAATCAGAAGAAGGAGAGTGTAGAGAGGTCAAGAAACGAATAGCAGATTGAGATTTTGGAGAAGAAGAAAGAGGAGAGAGACGAAGAGTGAAAATAGGAGAAGAGGCGGTGGGGATTTTGTTGATGAGATGTTTGGCTTTGTCGGCTACGAATTTCCACATTTTGCACTTTTTTTCTACCTGCAATTTAATGGATGTGATTTGGGTTTGGTTTTGGGCGATTCCATTTACGAAGCCGCCCTCAACATTTGTTTCTCAGAAAAATTCCCGTGGGCATGCGCGTGAGTCAGTCAGTCAGTCTCTTACCAACTCTGTTTGGCTTCAACGCCCATGGATTTTGACTTTTGTAACCTCTATTTTTAGAGAAATTAGCATTGCGCCACGTCATATTTATATTTTGATAAACAAAATTGTTGAACGTCTCACAAATTTTACTAAATGTTTTATATGAGCGTGAGATTCATATAACACTCACATTGTATGGATATTTGATGGAAATTTTAATAGAATTTTTAATAAATGTTTAGTTGTCTTTCAAACAAAAAAAACCAAATAAATAATGGCATCTATTATTTTAATCAATAATACTTAAGTTAGGACATACTTATTTGTTCATGAAATAATGAATAATCTCTTCCATTTCTATATGTGAATAGGGCATTGTGATTGAATTTGACATCATAGTTCACTATGAGGTATTTTGAGAAAATAGTTAAAATTTGATTTATTTATTTATTTTTTGGCTTTTTTTTGAATTTTTAGTTTCTTTTTTTTTTTTGTTTTTTGTGAGAGAAGAAATGTATTAAAAGCTAAAAAGTGACTTTTAACTTACTTTTCAAAATAGGCCTATATTTATATTAGATGTTTAGAAAACAATAAGGAGCACATACATTTATGATTATTGCAACACAGTGTCACGTGGCACCCTATTCGTGTACAAAATATTTTCTTTGTTCACCTTATTTGATTATGATTTTTGAACTTAAACTTAAATTTTTTGAAAATTGAAGTTTTTATATTTTTAATAAATTTTTTACTTTTTAAACGTACCTATTCTAGATGTATTTAAAAAGGAAATAGTTATAAAAAAATATTTTTTTAAAATTAATAAATATACAAAAATATAAAAATATACTAAATTTTTATTTTTTTATGTTTAGTAAATTTTTTAAAGATTTTTTTCCACAAATATTTTACATTTTAAGTGTCTTTATGTTAGGTGTATCTAAAAACTAAAATATTTGCTTAAAATATTTAAAAAAATTTAGTGAAATTTTTTTTAAAAAAATACGAAAAAAAATTAATTTTCTAAAAATTAGATTCAAAATTCTGAAACCAAAAAAGGTTTTTTTTTATTTAGAAAATTACAAAAAATAAAAATAAAAAACAAAACATAGATTTGGCCCCTGTAAAAAATAAATTATGAATTTTTGATTTTGTCAATTTAAACTCAAATATTTTGAATTATTATCCTATTTTTATTTTTAGTGAATTTCAAAAAAAAAATAAATTAGATTTTTAAGTTCTACTTGATGAGATGAACTAAAAAAAAATCTAAAAAAGACAAGAAAAAATACTAAACTTTTTTTTATATTGACATTTTCGATTTTTTTAAAAAAATATTTTTTAAATCTATATAATAAGACATAATAGTTTTTGAAAATGTATAAAATGTATGAGAGATATATTTGGTATTAACGGTATAGATCTTTCCAAACAAAAATAAACGGCTGAGATCAATTTTTTTCCCGCCCGTCTCTTTGTCTCCCCTCTTTCATCTCTGCCCAAATCCATTCTCTTTCATACGCTCTTCTCTCTCTTTACCTCTCTTCTCTGCCTCTCCTCTCACGACGACACTGCCACTCACCGACTACCGACCACCTCTCTTCGCCTCTTGCTGTCCTTTCTTCTCTCGACCACCGACTCTCTTTTGTCACCCTCCTCTTTCGCCATTTTGGCGAAGGAATTAAAAAAAAAAATCTTCGATTAAGTGAGAGAAAAGAAAAAGGAGGACATCGCCGTCCTGCCCAGTCGACGCCGACGCCGACGCCGACGCCGACGCCGACGCCGACACCTTGTCCCGCCGACGCCGACAACGAAGCTGTTCTTCGTAAGGTAAAAAGCCCCAATAATAGATTTGAAATAAATAGTTGTGCCAGAGAAGATGTCGCAGGAATCAGTGATGTTACGGAACTAATCTGTGATGTTAGGTAAAAGGCCCTAATTTTGATTCAATTTAAATGGTTTCCTTTTTTAAATGGGTGTTTATTTCAGTTTGATTTTTGACATGGTTTTGATTTATGAAATGTTTGATTCTTTAATGGGAAATGGGTGCTAATTCATGAAATGTGTCCTAAATACTTTTGAGTTTGCTAAATACTCTTGAGATACTGATGTGGAGTTTTTCTATGTATATTGGGCTTTTTTGTGTTTTTCTATTCTTTCTTTTTTTTTTTCTTTATTTGGGAGTGGGGATTGGTAAGCTGTGATAAAAAATAAATATAGTTTCAGCATTGCCTATTCCTTTTTTAAGACCCTGTAAACAATTGTCTCATTACTGTATGTTGTTCATTTGTTGTTTTATCCATTGAATTTTATTGCATCAGTTTAGTCTTATAGTTTATTTAGTTTAAATCAAAATTTTGTTTTTGTTGTGGCAGGGGGTTGGCTTGTAACAACCCTCATTTTGACTTAGTCATACTTACATACATTTGTGGATGATCTTGTGTTAATATGTGCATTTGCAAATCTTGTCTTGTTTTACTTGAATGATTGCTTGCACGCTTTGTAACGCCCTAAAAAATAACCCATTATATATCATTGACATGCATTATTTAAAGAAGACAATTTATTAATTCATTCATCAGAGTATTACTAAATAAAGCATTACATGTAACATCGAATAAAATGCCCTACAGGCTTACATCTTTCCAAGCCAACACTTGGATTCAAAAATATGAGTTCTAATCTCAATACAAGAAAAGCCCTAGGCTTGAATGTTTACATGTACTAATAAATAAAAACTATTAACTAAAGGTAGTCTTCTTCAAACCAGAAGCCAAACCCTCCCAAACTAAGTCCTTGGAGGTAGTTTATCACCTGAACCTGAAAATGATGTTCCCATAAAGGGTAAGCCACAGCCCAGTAGAAATACACTAAACCAACCATGGACAATGACTAAAA